GATGCAGATGCAACAGATTTGAAATTGTTTGTCAATGTATCACGATGCCTTGATGCAGACTTGATTCTTTATGAGCTGTGCCGTGTCGATAACAACATCCAGCAACCGAATATGACAAGCACGGCTTAAAGGGAAACAATTCTCAATTGGAATCCACACAGGTTGTGTGATAAATATGTACTAACTTTGCAAACTTGATCAGAGAAATGTTTCTAAATTAAGTCATGCCACAAGATCAACAACTTTAAATCCTACCAGAAAATACGGAATAACGTAGGATTGTGTTCTTTAAACAATGGGACATTTCTAGTGTCAACGCCGTGATGTTACAATATAGAACCATGTTCAGGTACTCACTCACTCATATGAACATGGTTGAGTTTTGTTTGCGTTCTTATTTACCTAACAGATTAATTTTAAGGTACGATGTATGTTCAAAATCTCCATTATTAGTACTGGACGAAAGGTGACATCTGCACAAAAGTGCTCCTTAAAGGAGAATACGAACAAAAACAAAACTTTTGATATATTGTATAGGATGTTTTAAAAGTCACCTTCCGTGATTACAATTGAACAAAACGTTTGTAAAATAGCAATAAAAACACAAAAAACGTACTCGTATTTCCTCCTGTTACGGAAACATCCGACAGTTTATGAGCAGAGGGGTATCACGTGACATGACGTCATATATGCCTGTCGCTGATGGCTTCCTCTTTGATTTTACCTCACAACTTAACAGTGTCCATGAATTCTGAAGCAGTCAAACATGTTCTTGATGTCATTTCTGAAATGGATGTTAGACCGTACCGATTTTACATCTTGCAAGACAATCTTCCAGTGAAGATGAAGAAGAAGAATCAAGCGAAACGGAGGCACCGCTTGAGGTTAAAATAAATTTACCAAGAGACCATATCATTTAACAAGAATACTATTTGTCGGCAAAATGTGATGTAGTTCCATCCAGCAAACCCACCCCTATAAATATATGACCAGTCCCTAAGAATTATTTTTTCTAAAATGTGATTGCAGTTCCTTTTGTGTCAAATGGGTGATTGTAGGGTGTCTGGGATTTTAAAACAAAATAATTATGCTTCAGACGGGTAAAAGAGAAATTATCTGCTACAAACATTATACTGATATTATTTTGTTGAAAAAAACATTAGGATCCTAGTTTTCATTAATAACGTATCAAGTCTCCATACAAGATCCCAGCCTGGTCGAGCAGAGATAATATTCGCGACGCAGGTAAGTTATTCCCCGAAAACTGGTGAATTATAAAATACTAGTCAGGACAATGTCTGTGTCCCCAATGTTTGGTTATGGAAATAATTATGGTACCCGGTCATAGCCTAAGAATGACATCTTGTCAGCCAATGAGAAAACATAACAACTTTCACGGCACACACTACTGACAAATAGCGAGTCTGAGGCCGATGTGCGTAATTAGACAAAATGGAAACAATGAAAGCAACAAGTACTTCATGATTTGCCGTTGTATTCGGCAATGTTTCGGGTAGACTGCAGCATTTACGGCTCCAAACCTAACGTTATAGCGAAACAGTTTCAAGCTCATGTGAAATCTCTTACTGATGTTGATAATATATATCTCATGGGTACCAGTCGAACTGCCCAAGCTACAAAATGCCCCAGCAAATTTCGTCATTCATTCTAATTAGGTCAAATATATTTAAAATGATTAAATATATGCCGTAAATGCATGGTTTTTGTCAACTTTGATATTATGCTCTTCATATAAGAGTTATTAGAAAGTAATATGTCTGATAAATGTTCCATTAGTAGGCTCATAACTATGTATATACTTTTATATGAAGAACATAATGTCGAAGTTGACAAAACTTTGCATTGAAGGCCTATATTTAATCATTTTAGATAAATTGGGGCATTTTGAGTACCTAGGGCAATTAGACGGCAATCGGACTTGATTTAATTTATGCTAAAAATACCACTGACAGTAAGTTGGAACAGGGTATGATGGAGTATAAATGAATCTCGTGGGGTCTTCTTCCTTCTTCAGTCTATATTTGGCATTTTCATACCCTTTGTGTGCATGTCTCTTTCATATGCGTCCGACTCGGATTGATGGGAGCATTTCTCCTGCCTCCTGTCTCTTTACTTGGAAAACGGAAGAAATGGTGGCTCTTTCCATTGTTCGATGATTCCGTGCATCCCCAGGCAACGGAATACACCATCGTACCATTTACAAAAACGACAGAAACAACACGATTTGTATTACAGTAGTGCTTGTTCTTTGGCAATATGGCGGACGCTAGTCACATATGACGTCACAAGCGGAAATGTCACGTGAGTTCCAGTGAAATATGCATAATGGCCGAAGCTCAGATAACAGAAACTGTTTTCGCGATAAAAACCTAATACACCATATTTTTTAAATAGAAATTGGGGTATGGTTCTCATGACTTTAACTTTCACCCTGCAAATTATTGCAATTATCTCGTTTTCTCCTTTAATAGTTAACATGGTATGGTTAAACACCCACACCCACACACACCCATAAATCGTCAGTGAGGAGACGTTGTTGGATCTTTTTCTTCTTCTTTTTTTTGTATTTAAAACAAAGCTAGAATCGTGCGGCAGCTGCTCGGGTAGATTTCATATTTGGAATAAGGTACAGCTGGGTGAGTACGTTAAGTTTGAACTTATTTGTGTTAAAACGATGATAGAATCGGCCGTAATATCTCCATCTGTAACGACCACTACGCTGCAGCCAGACGAAGGAGAAGTCAGAATTTATGCACTCTTTCGGGATCTAATTCCCTGTTTGTGAAGACATTTGGTTGTTGTACACAGGGGGTATAAAAGATTATACGCCATTTTGTTTATGATGTCATCGAACGCCTGGCTGACCTCATTTCACAGGGGGCAATGACCTTGACAGCAGTGGGGTTGTTTTTTGGTACAATCACCTTTGGTGACCTTTTGTGGCACCTACTTTGTCAGGATGGGTTTTGATGTAATTTTAAGGTCATCAGCTGCATGAGCAGTATAAATATGGTCAAAGTTTTAAATCAGTTACCATTCAGCTGGCCGATTTATATTGTTCGAACTGGTAGCTTGATACCCTTAGAACTGCGTCATTTTAGTCATGGACATGGCTAGTATTAACGAAAACAGAAAGGATTTAATCGAAATTTAAGAGAAGAAACAAAAAGAAGAGGAGTTGCTTTCCGACACTGTCTCGTGTATGCTGTTGATTGTCCATGTCTGGGGTGACTACTACGCAAGTTTGAAGTTAGAAGACATTTACAATACACCTGACATGTGCAAGGTAAACATTTCAAGAAATCAATTGGTTTTTAAAAAATAGGTCTTATTTCGTCTTTCTGTTTGTATGTTTTACTTTTTACTCGTCAGGCTAGAGATACTTGCAGATTAAAATAGAAAAATACAAAATAGTCTTATTTTTGTTCATGAATGACATATTTCTGTGACACATTTTTTTTATTTGGTTTCAGGATTTACTGTGGAACAATCGATTTTTTCCCCCAATATGCATTTGAATGTGGGTTCAAGAAGCAAGATTATGATCAGTCGAAACACAGTATTGCTTACGCTATAAAAAGTGAAACAGTACTGCCGATTTGGCAAGAACATCAACCTCACAACTGCGAACATTGTTTATGACGGTTTGTTTTTATGCAATAGTCCGTAAAAAACTTTCCGAGGGGGTATTTTTAGATCAGGTGCATAGCAACCTGAATGACATCATTGAATACTGATAGATCAACTGGTTTAATCCGGTTTGGGAATGAAAATATAGAAACCCCCTCATTTCGGATCATGCATCACTTCATCCCTGACTACACAGACGACATCCAACTATACAACTCTCTCTGTTGGCTGTTTATCTTGAAGTTGGAAGCAGTTCACCATGATATTCTGAGGAAGAATGACTCCAGCCTAGTGCAAGCTATAAAGCATGTAAAAGACGTGGTCGACAAACTTATCAAGTTTAAAGTCCTAACGTGCTTAATGAAGGCTGAAATTATTGAAAAACCTCAAACCTCTTTTGACGGGGTCAGAGAACTACTCACCATCTTACCTATATGGGGACCAGAAGCTTACTCCCTCTTTTTGTAAAGCTTTGGGTGAATGCGGAGAGACAGAGGCCATGACATTGTTGGGTCTTGACACTCCTGACCCTACTGACAAGTCACTGACAGTTACAGGATCCTCGTTGTCATTTGGACTTCGGCAATGACGTATTTGTGACAGCCAAGATGTGACGGGGGCAGTTGAACATCCACATTAGGAAGGTATGTTATATCTTCTGCAGCCATTTTCAGGCGTGTCAACGCCTGTCCATTTTAGATAGTGTTTAAGTAAAGTATTTTGCCCAGTGAGCCAGTACTATATTTTGTTTGTTAGCAGCTCATGTGAAAACACAAAGCAAAGAAGATTTTGTTAAACCATATTCATTGTCAACATACACTTACTTTAAATTCACTTTTGAAATCAAAACTGGTATTGTTATGTTTTCCGAGTGTCACACCATACTAGGGACCATGGGGACTTACAGTACATTTGCTTCCTGCTGGATTTACACCACCCATTCAGCTATTCGCAAGTTTAGATAATCTAGCCATAAATTAAAAGAACGTACGCTACGATTAAAAATAGTGGTAGGTTTAAATTGACTTTGAAGGTTTTGGGAGCGAATTTTTAAGAATTCCGCGGCAGATTTAAGTAAATTCTGCTTCCCATTTTTCAAACTTCTGCAAACATTCTGCAGTTAAATACTTAGAAAACAACAGGAAATGATTAAGAATTTCAAACTTTAATTTTTAAACACAAAGCTGTAACTGTTTTAGAGCTTCATGACATTCAAGGTACAGCCGGCAGTTTGCTTTTTTCCTCTGCAAGATGTTTTTTTTTTAGATTTAGGAAGATGATCAGAAACAGTACTCTTACGAGTGTAGTCAGAAATGACATTGCAAAAATCTACAGAGTATTGTTTGATAGTCAATCTTGATTCAACTTTCAAAATAAGGAAATTCTGTAGCAGAAAAATGGCAAATTCTGCAGGCGTTCTGCATGAAAATGCGTTTTCCGCGGACCAGACGTTTTTCTGCATTAAAGGGTAATTTCCGCGATTTATTCTGCAACTGCGGAATAGCGGAATCCAGGAGGGACTGTTTATAGCCGCACTCACAAGTGTCCAGCTACTTGAGGTCTATGACCTAATAATGGAGACATCTTGAACCTCCTTTTTCGCAACTGGGATACGATGACATCAACCAGCTCAGCACACCCTAACTCTCGATTCGGCTAGCTGACGCTCTTCAGCCCGATTCACTTATGAAATCTAGTTATAGATCACTTATTTTGAAATCAGCGAGTTATATCAGGGAAGGTTTATGATTGTTCAAATGAATCTATCATGTACACAATCGTAACGTTTCACTTTTGCCATGAATAAGCTCATACTGTTCATATGTAAATTATCTGTATGTTCTCTATGTCACAACATGTTATTTAGGAAAATAAACTTCTTCTTCGTGAAAGACATACATGGGTGGCTGATCAAATTTAACCCAGATTTTCACGGGTACATCGCTGTACAACCTAAGCTGGAAATCTGCTTGATGAATTACCACAAGCTTTTACCAAATGTGTGTCTTTATCAGAGATACTTTGTGTAGGGGTACAAGTGAGTGAGTGAGTATGGTTTTACGCCGTTTTTAGTAGTATTCCAGCAATATCACGGCGGGTGACACCAGAAACGAGCTTCACACATTGTGCCCATGTGGGGAATTGAACCGGGGTCTTCTGCGTGACGAGCGAATGCTTTAACCACAAGGCTACCCCACCGCCCCGTATAACTGCCTTTGGTTTTGCATTGGCATTTTTGTCTCGGCTAATTCCTACTCTAAGATAGTTATTACCCCGGATAACCGAAGCTGCCTGTTTGGCGCTGGAAAGTTAATAGTCTCACGGCTTATTTCACCGGGAACCCATATTCTGCTGGGTGAACAGAGGCAATTTTGAACAAACTCACTTGCTTAAGGTGAGACGTCGACCACATGTATCACATGTGCTTCGTTGTGGGGCAGGACTGAAGTCCTAGAAACTCTCAGGAGTCAAGCTGGCACACACGGTCAACCACCGAAGGACTCCGCAACCACCCATGCTTAACTTTAACTGATTGTGACCTGAGCGCTATGCACAGATTCACACGCCGCCACTCATGCTGGATTACCTTTTTTCCATATAGATATATATAATGCAATGCTAAATTTATTGGATGGGTTTATAACCTCCATAGAACCTGAAATTATCTAACTCTTATGGATATAAACAACGAACGAAGATCTCAACGATTATTTTATCTAATGAAGCTTGCCAGCAACGAGTGCTACAGATGTGACGTGACCACCATTCCCATCGAAGGTCATGCTGACTGTATTTGATGTGTGGACCTGTGATTGAGGTACTTTAAACACCCACGCGTTCCATTTTGTTTTCCCGTCAATCTTCATGGCATCAAACAGCATGTAGCTTGAAGACAATGTGTGGCCATTGAATACAACTGCCTTGGGTTTTGCATTTGCATTCTTGTCTCGGCTAATCCCTACTCTAAGATGTGATGAATGGTATCCGGAGCTGGGTAGATGGATGGTTGTTTGGGCATGTCCGTTGCTGATAGGGATGATCATGTTCTAGCCATAGTATGTGTTCTCGTTGTCCGTGCGTATTCCGCCAAAGTTGTAGTTGGTTTTGAACTTGTAGAAGCAGGTTGACGATCCAGGTAGACCAACGGTGCCATGAAGCTTAGACCTGTCGAAATGGTAGTTGGAATGAATAGCTGGGTTATCATTTTCGAACAGAACGCATGTTCTTTCGCCTGTAGTAGGGTTAAGCCAGTTGTTGGGAAAGTCCAGTTTTACATTTTGCCATTTACTGCCATAGTTGTGGAGTAGAACCACCATCTCTTTGGTGCGAGGATTTGCTAGGGCAAGAGGTGAAACAATTCTCTCCTGTCCATTGTATTGACTTGAGACTCGGAGAAACTTTTGATCATTGATGAAGTTTTTCCAAAACGTGAAGAATTTCGTATTTTGAAGAGGATGACCATCCTTGGTAAACAACGATTTTCGGAGGGCAGTATGGCCCGGGTATTGTTCGTTTGAAAGGAGAAATACTGTAACTCGTTCGATGAACTCTCTTAGGTTAAGGAAAGTAACCATGAAGCCATTTTCTTGGTAAATTGTTTCAAAGTCAATCATTCCGTTTTCAAAAGTTGGGCCTAATGATTGCAGGTTACCTAGACCTAATCCAAATTCAGTGTTAACTAACTGAACGTTCTTTCCTTTCTTGATATGGGAGTAATTCTCCACCATGTCAAGAGAAGTAACCAGACGAGCTTCGTTCATTCCAAAGTAGGTGTGACTTTCACCTGATATATGCAGGTAGTTGTAGGAATGGAAAGAGAAAAAGTCCAAGTGATCGAGAGACATGTCCAGAAACTTTGCAGTTCTCTTCCAGGAGCTGAAGTTATTTTCATCTGATTTTCGTAAAGCCATGCTGGTGTACGATGGTCCGGCAACTTTCATTCCAAATCTTTTTTTCAGCTTGTAGGCGACGGCCTTGTGGAAGTCTATATTCGTTTGTGGGTCAATAATATTTTCGTACCAGTCAGGTTCATTGATGACTTCAAATATGTGAGGTATGCGGCCTCCAGTGTAGTCCTTGGCACTCTGAACCATCAGCGACACAAACTCGGATGCAGCGTCAACGTTGTTTGGGAATCCGCCATGATGATTAGATTTATCTATCCAGGCGGGCCAGTGCCTAGCTGTATGAGAGGAACATATACAGTAATAGAAAATGTACGTCAAACATTATCACCGCATGTTGGACTACTTCATGGTTAAATGAGCGTATGTGAATTGTTAGATATTTAGAACTCTTTAGCGAAAGAACAGATCTTGGGCACTTTGCTACTAACTGATTAGGACTCGCACCCAGACCAATGGCACGAAAATGAAACCTGAAACGCCCAGTTTAGCTTTCGACACTGGACACCCGTTCCATCACGGCTTTGTCCTGAGTTTGTTTATGAGTATATCACGCTGTTTATATACCTGTTGAAAGTATTTAGTGACATTGCATACCTTCTATGTTCCAGACCATGTCTGAGATGTTATTGCCATAGTTAGCCAGTTGTTCCATGTAATATGTGAATGACTTTGTCTGGAGTGCATGGTCCTGGAGATGGGTCGGGTCTGGGTAACCATGGTGACTATGACTTTGGGGCCACTGAATAACAAATAACAGTGAATGGTTCTGTAACTTCTGTCAAAATGACAAGAATGAAACAAGAATGTTCTCAGGCCTGATTTGCTGAAACAAATATTTGCTTTAAAAGAAATGAGATGAACAAATATGTTATCAAGCAATGATAAATTTGTAGTTAAACTTCAGTAATTCACTGTATATATTATAGTAAATGACACTGTTTTTTTAGACATCCACGACCAATAAGTAGACATTTTTTAAGACTTTCCTGTTACGTCATCAACAACAAGCAGTAGTTTATATTTTTATTCTAAAAAAGTATTGTGTTTGCATGAGTAGTGGGAAGACTATGTTCCAACTCCTACACCATAGTCATGTGATTCATCGTTTGTGGTTAAGTGGATTGCTTGCTCAGTTTCCCCTTTACAGATTCGTTGGTTTGTTGCTTAACGCCGCAATCAGCAATATTCCAGCTATAAGGTGACGACGTGTAAATAATTGAGTCTGGACCAGACAATCCAGTGATGAATAGCATGAGCAACGATCTGCCAAAGTGGGAAATGATGACATATGTGAACCAAATCAGGGAGCCTGACCACTCGATCCCGTTAGTCGCGTCTTATGACAAGCATGGGTTACTGAAGACCAATTCGAACCCGGATCTTCATGGGTCCATATTGTGTTGAAATATGGAGTTTAACAGTTTGATTATAATGAACGATGTGTGCCGAGAGCTTACATCTTCCATGCTACCACTGCCTGTCTCCCATTATAAGATAAGTAGGAATCTGACTAATAACAATATTCCCTCCAAAACATGTATTCTACAGAATTACTAGACTATTGAGAGAGTGAGTTAGGTTTTACGTCGCTTTTAGGAATATTCCAGCAATATCACGGTGGGGGACACAGGAAATTGGCTTTACACAATGTACCTATGTTGGGATTCGAACCCTGGTCTTCAGCGTGACGTGCGAATGCCTTAACCACTGAACTACCCCACCGCCCAACTAGACCATAGAAATCAAGCAGAAATAATTTGCTAAAATCTTGTTTACTTATATGATGAGTGAGTTACTATTTATCGTCACATCGGTAATGTTTCAGCCATATCATGATATCAATTAATTATCATATTATAGCTCAAAACAATTAGAAATTAGAAGCCTGTTGACAGTAAAGCTAATACTGTATTACAGAGATTTAAGTAAAACTAGCATCTTATCATATTATTATAGACAACAACACAATGTAAAAACAGGCTACATATTGACACATATCACTATACTAGAGACCATGGGGACTTACAGTATATATGCTTCCTGCATGGACACATATATGATGATGTTAACCTCATACGTACGTTTGGAAAAAGCTGTATGTCTCTGTTCACCCAACGCCCGGCAGCGGTTCCAATAGCCTTACACTTTGGAATTAGGTTCAAGTGGGTGAGACCATTCATTTTGTTCCATCGTTCAACTTCATAATGGACACGTCCACCCTGGGAAAGCCACTCGTTATAGATTGTGACGGTTGTGTCAGAGAACGCCGATCCCCACAGAAACAAGGCGCACAGAACCTGTAGCAACATTCTGCTGTTGTATTTTGATAATTCTGTTGACTAACTCAAGGTTGTAATCTACACGTGAAAGCAGCATGTTACATTCGTCAGGTAGAAAATAGAACGTATAATCAAGATAAGAGTAAACAAAGTAAGCCTGTAACTCACTGTACAATTTAAAGTGACTGGGCAGTCTTAAGACATTTAGTTTGTTTCAACTGCTAGATGTAAAGGTACAGTGGGGTAGTCCAGTGACGAAAGCGTTCGCTCGTTACACCAAAGTCTCGGGTTCGATTTCCCACATGAATAGAGTGTAATGAAGCTCATTTCTGGTGTTCCCCGCCGTGATATTGCTGGATTATCACTAAAAGCAGCTTAAAACCAATCTCACTTACTTTAGAAGTAAATGATAAATATATCGTCATCAAGAATACTTGAAATATCATAAGGGTTCATATTGTATAATGCTATCTTTTCCCTGCATTGCCTAGATTCAAATTTATTAAAAGCTGTTGCAAAGTTGTTTTTGCATAAGGCATTTTCTCTTTTGAAAATTGTTGGGCGCAAAACTGAAGTACATGCATGACACCAAAGATATGGTTTATTAAAGTTTGCATCTTAACTTGAATTTTAGCTTTATTCACAAGTGTTTGAGATTTGAATGCATGTCTTTGGGGTCTAGGTATCCACTGTTCCTTGCATCTGTAACAGACAACCAACGTGAATGAGTTTGGATTTTAACAATATTTCAATATAACACTAGAAATTGGCTTCAAATATTGTAGCTGTAAGGGGAATCGAACACGACCCGTGAGCAAATGATCTATCTGTTTGGATATCCCACTTGGTCACAAAAACTGAATATATCCCCCGAAATATAAACTTCAAGGCCTTGTCTCGTAGTTGCAATTTACAAATACCTGTGAACTTTTGAAATACCTGCAAACTTATTCCAGTCACTTGACACTGAACATTTAAGACAATATGGAAATAAGAAACCTGTCATGGCGCCCCGAGAGACAGAACTTCTTTGGTCATCAAAATGTAATCCAAAATACCCGATATTATTAGGTGTACTTCCAGTTGAACATGCAGATGCATTGTACAAAGTAACGCAAGCAACATGGACCATTTGACAAGGTTGACAGGAGAAAACATGACTTTATTCACAAACGTACTATCGATACGCGTATGGTAACGCCTGTATAGCAAATCTCTGACAGAAGTAAAGGTTTGATACAATGCATTTCTGGCACATATCTTACAGAATATCGACAAACATATGACACAATGTCTTTCTGGAACAGTTTTATGAGAATATCGACAAACAT